TTCTTGTATGCCTGAGGTCCTGGACCACATGTTAATTTGTTTTCTGGAAGCTGGAGACTGAATGGCTAAGGTCAGTGATGCACATCCTGTATGCCTATGTGGCAGATCACCGACCCAAACCTTGGATGCCAAGGCAAGGGAGAGCTTCTCTGACCGACAACACTTCACACATGTTGTCACATTTTATGACTTGGAAAAGTAAGGACTGTCCTTGTGATCCCACTAGGAGATGATAACTGGAAGCTTGTGCCTGGTTTCTCTTGGTGCCTTCATCCTAAATGCCTTTTACTTTTGTTGATTTGGATCCATATCCTTTCACTGTAATAAATGGTGACCATAAGTATTATAGCTTTCTTGAATTCTCTAGACAGTCCATTCTGAGGTTGGTTTTAGGGGCCCCCACACATCTGTTTATGCTCTGCTAGCAATATATCCTGAGTCAAGTGCTCTAACCTCATTTAATTTCATTTTCTCACCAGTAAATGGGGACGATAATAATTATAGTAGCTACCTTGTCATGAAGTTTCGGGACCCAGCCTATACTTTATTTTCTCCACAAGCATTACTTGAGAGTTACTATAGAAATTCCAGGAAAATGTAAAGTGCCAGCACATAACGTATATATTTTTTCAACAAAAGTTCTCTTAAGCAGTCTCTTTTGCAAGTTCTCCTATCTTCCCTCTCCCCTGGTCCCAAGATACCATTTCTGGATTAGGAGATCTAACCTCAACTAGTGCAGAAATGTCTTTTTCCAAACTCAGGAGAATGGACCTCATTCTCCTCTTATCAGTGACTGACTATGCCCATTTTCATCCCCAAATCATCTCCTTGATGGAGAAGTCAGGCCAAAATAGGAGCTTTGCTTGAGCTTTTTCACCTGATTGGCCTCAAGCAGTAAACTGATCTTTCTTGGTCATCTTTAATAGTTCAGTTTTGTTTTCTTTTAATGTCTCTGGAATTTTTTCTTTTTTTTTCCTATCCCCAAACCTTTTAGACTTTAACTTTTCCTTCCTACATGTTTGTGATATTATCTATGCCTCCTTTAAAAATTTTTTTGGCTTAATTAAAAATTTTACATTATTGCCACTATTTTTCCTTAATTATGAAACTTATGATCAAAATTAAAACATTAAAAATATTTATACCTTAGAAAATAAAACTCTTTTAGAAGTCGAACTCTCAAGAAACCACAGATGTGTTTCCTTTAAATAACCTGGTTCACAGCAGAGGTTCTTATGTAACCACTGGCTTCTGTAATTACCTTCCCTATGAGGATAATTTCCTTCTCTATTAAGATAATTTGAAATGGCGGGGACAGAAGATTTTTTTGGTGGGGGAGAGTTTTTTAGGTCTCTCAAATTTCATGTAATGAAACATGCCCATCTGTTCTCTGAACTTTAAAAAAAAATATATGCCTTTCTCAAGGTCATGGTAGAGATTTGAGAATCTCCAGCATTCTCTTCTTCATTGTCAGGAACACCCTTTTGTGCTCCAGTTTTAAAATGAGGGTCTTACATTATATGGTTTAGATGTTCACATCAAGCACTATTTTCTTTTTAAATTTAATTTAATTTACTTATTTGAGAGAGAGACAGAGAGAGAGAACATGCATGAGTGTGAGGCAGAGGGAGAAGGAGAAGCTGACCTCCCGCTGAGCAGGGGGTCCAGACCAGGGCTGCATCCGAGGACCTCAGATCATGACCTGAGCTGAAGGTAGAAGCTTAACCGACTGAGCCACCCAGGCACCCCCAAGCACTATTTTCTATGCTTCTACTGTCTATAGGAAGTTGTACAGATGAGCAACAATTGGAGAAGACTTTATAAAGAACAGTTTTCCCAGGCATATATGCCTATGGCAAGGATCAAAGAAGTGCCCCAAGAATGCCTCCGTTGTGGAGACTGCGACAGGTTTGGCATCAAACCCAAGAGGATTATCAATTTTTAGGTCTCATTAATTAACAATCCTGGAGGCGACTGGGTAGCTGAGGGCAGCACGGAAGCTGGTCTAGAAAGTTGGCGTTTTTTTATATAGCATGAAGTGATCATATTCTCTCTTTACACCAGTTCTGTACACACACAGAAATGGAAACAAAAGCATTGAGGCTGCACTTGGAAGATACCTCATTATTTTATGTATTCAGCACTCTGCTTTTCTGGAAACTGTCATTAATTGCCCTATATTTACATGGTTTCTGCTGGAGTGGCCATGTTTATTGATTCAGTTATTCAACAACTGTTTATTGGGTGCTATGTGTGACACTCTTCCAGACCCTGGAGACATAGCCATGAATAAGATATACAAAAAATTTCTTATGGAGCTTGCATTCTGATGGGGGGAAATAAGACATGAAATGAAATAAGTAAATATTTGGTATGTCACATAAAACGTGCTATGGAGAAAAATCAAGCAAGAAAGTGAAAAAAGATGAAGGGACAAAGTGAGAGAAGTCCTATGTTCTGTAGGTGGCCAAGACAGACTTCATCCAGGATATTTTTGGAGTTAGATCAAAACAGGATGGTTTAAACCCAGACTGTGGAATGAGGAGTAGGGGAAAAAAAAAAGCCTGTTAGAAGCAAAAGAGAAGCATGAATACGCAAGAGAGTAGCAGAAAAAGAGAATGTGGGTGGAGAGAGAGAGAGCCTGAGAGAGAACTTCTCAGGTTCTACATAACATTCCAGTATACATCTGATAAATCCTTTTATAAAAATCCTTCTTCCATTTAAACTGGATCAGTTTCTGTCACTCCCAACCAAAGAATCCTAACTCATACACATAATAAGTAAGATAACTTGTAAATTCAAGGCTTGCTTTATGTGGGAGATGTTGGTTACCTCAGAAAATTGGAGCTCGATGCTTCTGATGCCAAGAGTACAGATTTGGTAGCAGAGTAGAATGAATTTTGCTGTTCCCTAGCATTCCAGAAATAAAATGTGCAAGAAATATCCATTTTTCTGGAGCTTTTTCAAATTTTTATTTATATCTAGTTAGTTGACGTATGTGGTAAAATCGGTGGCAGGTGTAGGATTTAGTGATTTTTCACTTCCATGAGATACCCAGGGCTCTTCTGTTTTTCTTTTAATCGAATTAACTCTGACTCTGCACTGGCACTGTGGAAAACTCAAATTGGAAGCATTATATTTCACCTCTATTTCTGTTCTCCCACTGCTCCCTCCATCCTGGAGTCACAAAATAATTAGGGAAGCTTACTGATGTCTAGACCCCTGGGGAAAGGCTCTCTAATCTCCAAGTTGCTATTGTTCAATCCTGCTTTAAACTTTCTCTTAAAGTCCCTGGCTCTCTGCTTCTCACCAAGAGGAGAGCACAGAAATCTGTACTGAGGCTAAAGGATGCTTTCCTTCATAGGGTGCACTCCTCCCTTCTGAAGTTGTGTCACCTTCCTGGAAAAGGAAAAATCTTGAAGCAGGCTCCAGTATCCACTCAGGTAACCATGGGACCTGCAAATCATTCACTTTCTCTCTTTATTCTCAAAATAATTCTATTCTCTTCTGGCATCCCACACACTCCCATACACAATATTTTCATTTAGCTTAGACTTTTAGAATAGACGATAAGAGTTCGTGACTTCCACTTCCAATTCAGCTTCCCACCTTGCAAAAACTCCCCAAAGATTTTTTTTTGGTCTTTCTTATTATGCTCTAATATACATAACATAAAATTTTCAATTTTAACCATTTTTAAGTGTATGTGTCTGTGGCATTAAGTACATTTACATTGTTGTGTACCCTAAAGATTTAATGAGAATCTGGCGATCTGACTGAAATGGGGAAGGATGAAAATATAGAAATAAATTCTATATTTGAAACATTGCTCATTTGAAACATCATGTATTTGTTGAATGAATGGGGCAAGTTCCATAATTCATAGTTTTGAGCAGCAGAAAGGCATCAGCAGTATAGTAGGTTTTAAAGTGCAAGAGGATGATGAGGAGAAAGCTTGGCTGTAAGGAAACTTGGTGAAACAATGAAGACAAACTTTACCTGTCTCACTCATAACATCATTTAATATATCTGAAGCGAAGTAAAATGAAGACTTTTTCTCCACTATGCCTTGTGCCAGGATCAGAACAATGTTCCTGAATGTTGATGGGGGCATAAATAACTTCCACAGAGAAAGTCTCAAATCAAAAGCAAAGTTTAATATTATGAATTGCAATAATGCTTTTTGGTATCTAAGCAATGGTTTACTAAGGGATGCAATCCACAGAAGAGTTAGTATTAAAAAATTTTTTTTAAGTATTAAAAATCTTAAACTTATTAAGAATTACAGTTGGGGTCGTAGGGCGTGGGGTGGACAGGAACGAATTCAAAATACGCTCAAGTGATTTACATTGGCTTTGCTTACAAGTTTCTTTTGGGAATTTGAAGAACTTGTGTCCATTTATTCATTCCGAAATATTTAGTTAAGCGCCTACTATGTGTGAGGCACTGGGATACAGCAGTGAACAGGTAGTTTCCTTTATTTAAAGAGCCTACATTTAGGTGTACTGGAATTCTGAGTCGTGAATCCAAGGGCACGATAAATCGAATGATGCAGTGAACCGAGGAACCACGATTCTTCAAAAACCTCAGCAAAATCGGTATTTTAAATTTTCTATTTTTGGAAGCTGGATCCTCTTAGTTCCGGAAAGGGGGGAGGGTGGGCAGGTGGGATGTAAAGAGATTGCCCGTCGAATATATACACAGATTTCGTGTTTGGGTTCAGCAGTTTAGGACTGGAATTCCAAATTACACCTGCAGTACAGAACTAACCCGACCTAAGAGGCAGACAGGATTACAGAAGAAGCACTAATTTATCAGAGCCCCCAGACGGTACAGCCATCTCAGCCTACAGTAGAAGGCCATGAACTACAACTCCCAAACGCCCTTGCCACCGCCAGCCCGACTTCGAAGTATGGGAAAGATGGAGGGACGCCGGGCGCTCTCCTGTTGCGTCATTAGAGTGCGACTCCAGATACAAAACAGGTCTGGGCTACAAAAGTATGGCAGCTGCTGAGGCGGCGGTGGTATCGTCGTCGTCTTTGGAAACAGACAGAGCCCTGGTCCCTGAAACTGCCGGAACAGCCGCAGCAACGGCCGCCCCACCAGCGACGGCTGCAGCTGCGGCCGTTGCAACCGCTGCCAGAACCGGATCCGAAGCCAGGGTCTCCAAGGCCGCTTTGGCTACTAAGCTGCTGTCCCTGAGCGGCGTGTTCGCCGTGCACAAGCCCAAAGGGCCCACTTCAGCCGAGCTGCTGAATCGGCTGAAGGAGAAGCTGCTAGCAGGTACTGCAGCCCGGGTGGGGACCAGGCTGAGGCGGTCGCCGCGAGAGCGGAAGCCGCAGAGAGCCAATGGGCTTTTTTGCGCGCCGGTGGCTCGAGAAGTAAAAGGAGGGGAAAGGGAGGATGACCACTGAATTAGCTCTGGACAGAAATCTGGGGCATCTCGGGCTTGGACTTGCCCTGACGTGAACTCCTGTAGCCTAGTTGACAGTTTTCGTCTCCAGGGAAGAACAAAACACAAAACCCCCACACTTAACACAAATAAACCCCTTCCCTTGGGCAGACAAACTAATATTCTGTAATTTGATCGCCCAGGAGACTTTTGTTTGGCTCACGTTGATAAACCCCTCCTAAAGGACGCACTGGCTCTCTACCCCCAAAGTTGAAGTCTTAAAAATAGTTTGGGGATGCAGATATTACTTGATTAACCAAGACTTTAATGCCCTGGTTTTCACAGAGTGGGCATAGGAATTATTTAGAGTTCCTTGTACAAATACAGATCCCGGATCTCTGCCCTCCCAGAGATTGTGATTTTGAGGTTCTGAGGTATTTTTTAGGAAACCTTTTAAAACTATTCCTCCAGGTGGTTCTGGTGTAAGTGGCCTTTGGACGACATTTTGAGGAACACTAAGTATAATTTAAGAGCATTCTTTTTTGGGAGCATATTAGAAGAGCCTGGAGGATATCTCAGTTCATCTTCCCAGTAGATTATTTCGGACGGTGACATCAAGGAACCTTAGATTTATTGGACACCTACAATAAGCCAGATGTAGTTTATAGAGACGGGAAGATGAAAAATCCTGTCTTTTCTCTTAACTGAGCTCATAGCATAGACATTTCTGCAGACTTTGATGATAAAACTATTTAGCTGTGTATTCAGGGCTCTCCTGAATTTGACCCTGGCCTGTCTTTCCATTAAAAATACAGTACAGGAACTTTTCTCCTCCCCCTCCCCCTCCCCCTCCCCCTCCCCCTCCCCCTTCTTCTTTTTAAGATTTATTTAGTTTAGAGGGAGAGAGAGCGCACAGGCAGGGCGAAGAGGCAGAAGGAGAGGGAGAGACTCTCAAGCAGACTACCCCACTGAGCATGGAGCCCAAAGAGGGGGGCTTGATTATATAAACCTGAGATCATGACCTGAGTCCAAATCAGGAGTTAGTTGCTTAACTGACTGAGCCACCCAGGTGCTGCAGGAACTTTCTTTTTAACATTGTTTAGTGTGTCTTGGCAAACTTTATTATACTTTTTTAAAATGCAAAAACAAATAATTCTGCCGGGAATTTGTTAATTAAAATTGACACAATATGGATTCAAATGTTTAATGGCATTAATGTTTAATACGTACACTCTTGTAGATGTTTAATCCCAGTGTTATATCTACTCATTCTTTTTTATACTTCCCTTATACTTTGTTGCCTGTAAGAATGGGGCATATAGGGATGTTGAAGGAAGGAATTGCATTAAGAACAAGCTTCGTGGTGTCGTTTGTGTGTAGTTGTTTCCTACACACAATTGCTTTCATTGGGCCTGATTTATTACCTGAACTATGGTTTTTTGTGATTCTCAAGGTAATGATTACCATTCTTCCTCTCAGACAGGTTTCTGATGGAATCAAAGCCATATCCTGGCCTTCTGGTTAATCTGCCTCCAAGAGTCCAAGAGTTGAAGTTTCTTGTTGAAACTTGGTTAAAACATTGTTTCAAGACTCTTGCTAGCCATCTTCTAGAAGCCCCTTGCTCAGATGTAGATATTCTCATTACTCCATTTCTGTATTGCTTTGATTGATCTAATTCTATATTTCTGTTAGCTAGACCATGCTACCTGAGAGGGTTCTAAAAGATACACATTTCAAGGCAGCACGTTCTGTTGCCGGCCAGGTTTGACACCCACTGATTCAGGCCACCGTTAATGGCCATAGCCTCTATTAACACTTCTGGCCTTTCCCTGTATTGATTCATGTTATACTGAAATCCTTGCTCTTCTTTGTCTTCTATCTGAATCCTTCAAGGCCCAAAACATCAGAATTTTATAGCTAGAAAAGACCTTAAGAGATATTCTTCCATCAATGTTACCAATAGGATGAATCAAATTCCAATATAGTAGATGGGCATGTCTTCGAACTTGAAAGGGGTAAATTTGGACGCAAAGGAAAGAAGCAGGTTTGTGGGCCTTCGTATTCTAAGGAGTGTCAGGTTGAAAAATACAGAGAGTTCTCCAGAAGTTTTCTATAAATTTATGGATGAGAGGCCCATAATGAATTAAAAGTGAAAGGTGAAAGGTTTGAAGCTTGGGCCTATTCTTACAGGTTTGTGTTAAAGCAGGCTGATTCCATGTAATCAGAGAGTGCCATGAGGACTGTGTTCCAGACAGATGGTGTTCTGTAATTATGCAGTCAGGCAAGGCAACCCAGCATATCATTTTGGACATCTATTCTGGCTTCTCCATTATTGCTCTGCTTTCCTTCTTTTCTCTGTCCTCTCTTTTCGTTTCTTTTGCTCTATTTTTTATCTTCACCATGTCAGTGGTTATAAGGGAAGTTTGATGGGCTTGGGAGATGTAGATCAATACAGCTGTTCTTTCCCTTCTCAGTTGAAGTTCAGTAGCCAATGTTCTGTCTGTGTATTGATATATATATATAACAATTATAATGATAGTAATAATAATAACTTATTGTCAGAGTGCCATGTAGTTTCCAAAGCACTTTCAGATAACATTATTTCAATTTATCTTTATAATAGGAAGATGAGATGGCCCAGGTTGATGTTTTCTTTTTTTAAATCTAAATGCTTCAGAGTTTGAGACAATTTAACTGGTACCTACTTCCCACATAACCCCCCCCCACCTTTTTTTAAATTATCATATAATTTATTATTTGTTTCAGGGGTACAGGTCTGTGATTCATCGGTCTTACACAATTCACAGTGCTCACCATAGCACATACTTTCCCCAGTGTCCATCATCCAGCCAATCCATTCCTCTGCCTCCACTCTAGCAACCCTCAGTTTGTTTCCTGAGATTAAGAGTCTCTTACGGTTTGTTTCCCTCTCTGGTTTCTTATTGTTTCATTTTTTCCTCTCTTCCCCTATGATCCTCTGCCTTGTTTCTCAAACTCCACACATCAGTGAGATCATATGATAATTGTCTTTCTCTGATTGACTTATTTCGCTTAGCATAAACCCTCTAGTTCTATTCATGTCATTGCAGATGGCAAGATTTCATTTTTGATGGCTGCATAATATTCCTATGTGTGTGTGTGTGTGTGTGTGTGTGTGTGTGTATAGGTATATATATATATACCACATCTTCTTTATCCATTCATTTGTTGATGGACATCTAGGCTCTTTCCATAGTTTGGCTATTGTGGACACTGCTGCTATAAACATTGGAGTGCACGTGCCCCTTCGGATCACTACATTTGTATCTTTGGGGTAAATACCCAGTAGTGCAAATGCTAAGTCATAGGGTAGCTCTATTTTCAACTTTTGAGGAACCCCCATGCTGTTTTCCAGAGTGGCTGCACCAGCTTGCATTCCTACCAACTGTGTAGGACAGCTTGTCTTTCTCCACATCCTCGCCAACATCTATCTGTCATTTCCTGACTTGTTAATTTTGCCATCCTGACTGGTGTGAGTTGATATCTCACTGTGGTTTTGATTTGTATTTCCCTGATGCCATGTGATGTTGAGCACTTTTTCATGTGTCTGTTAGCCATTTGGATGTCTTTAAAGAAATGTCTGTTCATGTCTTCTGCCCATTTTTTGATTGGATTATTTGTTCTTTGGGTGTTGAGTTTGATCAGTTCTTTATAGATTTTAGATACTAGCCCTTTGTCTGATATGTCATTTGCAAATACCTTCTCCCATTCTTTCGGTTTTCTTTTGGTTTTGTCGACTGTTTCCTTTGCTGTGCAAAAGCTATTTTTTTTTTAATTTTTAAATTTTTTATAAGCATATAATGTGTTTTTTACCCAGGGGTACAGGTCTGTGAATCGCCAGGTTTACACATTTCACAGCACTCACCATAGCACATACCCTCCCCAATGTCCATAACCCCACCACCCTCTCCCGACCCCCCACCCCCCAGCAATCCTCAGCCTGTTTTGTGAGATTAAGAGTCACTTATGGTTTGTCTCCCTCCCGATCCCATCTTCTTTCATTTTTTTCTTTTCCTACCCCCCAAACCCCCACGTTGCATCTCCACTTCCTCATATCAGGGAGATCATATGATAATTGTCTTTCTCCGATTGACTTATTTCGCTAAGCATAATACCTTCTAGTTCCATCCACATCGTCACAAATGGCAAGATTTCATTTCTTTTGATGGCTGCATAGTATTCCATTTTGTGTGTGTGTGTGTGTGTGTGTGTGTGTGTGTGTGTGTGTGTATACCACATCTTTTTTATCCATTCATCTGTTGATGGACATTTAGGTTCTTTCCATAGTTTGGCTATTGTGGACATTGCTGCTATAAACATTTAGGTGCATGTGCCCCTTCGGAGCACCACGTTTGTATCTTTAGGGTATATACCCAGTAGTGCAATCGCTGAGTCATAGGGTAGCTCTATTTTCAGCTTTTTGAGGAACCTCCATGCTGTTTTCTGGAGTGGTTGCACCAGCTTGCATTCCCACCAACAGTGTAGGAACATTCCCCTTTCTCCGCATCCTTGCCAGCATCTGTCATTTCCTGACTTGTTAATTTTAGCCATTCTGACGGGTGTGAGGTGATATCTCATTGTGGTTTTGATTTGTATTTCCCTGATGCCGAGTGATATGGAGCACTTTTTCATGTGTCTGTTGGCCATCTGGATGTCTTCTTTGCAGAAATGTCTGTTCATGTCTTCTGCCCATTTCTTGATTGGATTATTTGTTCTATGGGTGTTGAGTTTGCTAAGTTCTTTATAGATTTTGGACACTAGCCCTTTATCTGATATGTCGTTTGCAAATATCTTTTCCTATTCTGTCAGTTGTCTTTTGGTTTTGTTGACTGTTTCCTTTGCTGTGCAAAAGCTTTTGATCTTGATAAAATCCCAATAGTTCATTTTTGCCCTTGCTTCCCTTGCCTTTGGTGATGTTCCTAGGAAGATGTTGCTGTGGCTGAGGTCGAAGAGGTTGCTGCCTGTGTTCTCCTCAAGGATTTTGATGGATTCCTTTCTCACATTGAGGTCCTTCATCCATTTTGAGTCTATTTTCGTGTGTGGTGTAAAGAAATGATCCAATTTCATTTTTCTGCATGTGGCTGTCCAATTTTCCCAACACCATTTATTGAAGAGGCTGTCTTTTTTCCATTGGACATTCTTTCTGCTTTGTCAAAGATTAGTTGACCATAGAGTTGACGGTCTATTTCTGGGCTCTCTATTCCATTCCACTGATCTATGTGTCTGTTTTTGTGCCAGTACCATACTGTCTTGATGATGACAGCTTTGTAGTAGTGTTTGAAGTCTGGAATTGTGATGCCTCCAGCTTTGCTTTTCTTTTTCAACATTTCTCTGACTATTCAGGGTCTTTTCTGGTTCCAAATTTTAGGATTATTTGTTCCATTTCTGTGAAAAAGTTGATGGTATTTTGATAGGGATTGCATTAAATGTGTAGATTGCTCTAGGTAGCATAGACATTTTCAATATTTGTTCTTCCAATCCATGAGCATGGAACGTTTTTCCATTTCTTTGTGTCTTCCTTAGTTTCTTTCATGAGTACTTTGTAGTTTTCCGAGTACAGATTGTCTTTTTGGTTAGGTTTATTCCTAGGTATCCTATGGTTTTGGGTGCAATTGTAAATGGGATTGACTCCTTCATTTCTCTTTCTTCTATCTTCTTGTTGGTATATAGAAATGCAAATGATTTCTGTGCACTGATTTTATAGACTGCCACTTTACTGAATTCCTGTATGAGCTCTAGCAGTTTTGGGCCCACATAACCTTTTGTTAAGATTAGCTTCTTGAAGGAATTGAGGGTTTTGATTTGGAGAGAAGGGCAACAAAAATAGATACTTTGGGAACTTAGTGTTCTTAGAAGTAGCCCTTTGAAAGGTATTCCCGACATTAGGTAGCTGGGGGTACCAGCAAAGAATGCCAGGAAACGAGAGAATTAGAAATGAAATCAAGAACTTCTAAAACCACCTGCCTATATAAAAACTGACTTCTTTTCATCATTTAAGAGCCCACTACTGGGAATTTATTATGTTTTTCAGGGTTAGCCTGGATATTTGCTCACATTAAAAAAATATTTCTAGAAAGTGAATTCTAGTTTCTACACAACTAATTTTGTAATACTATTTCTTCATAATTTAGGGAGTGTCTGTACATTTTTAAGTCTGTTCTTTGCTAATAGTGTTATCATCTCAATCTGTTAAGTTTGTACAATCCTTTTTGTTTTGAATACTCCATCCATCTTTCCCCCATATTTATGGAGCTCTTACTTCGTTTGTCTTTCTAATTGCCATTTCTCATCCAATTACTCTCATAGAAGCTGGAATGCCTTCTCCAGAATGGACCAAAAGGAAAAAGCAAACTTTGAAAATTGGACATGGAGGCACGCTCGACAGTGCAGCCCGAGGAGTTCTGGGTAAGAGATACGAATGGAAGTTTGATATAACTACCACTTATTATAGAAAGAAATACTGACTGAGAACAGATAAAGCCAGGCCATTTTCAGTCTTTGGAGTATTTCAGATCTACTGGATTTATAATGCCATCTTTTAAAGAAGCCCTTAAAAGGTACAAGCTATACAAAGCTATTAGAAATAGCCACTTTTGTGTGGGGATGGGACTTTAAGATAAGATTTGCATCTGTGAAGCAAAGCGTTAACTTAGCGGGCCTGAAATTGCTGTTTAGAAAGGGCTGCCTGCAAGTCTTGCCCTTAGCAGGCATCCGGGAACTTGGGTTCTGAGAGTATTCCCACCCCTCCTGTTCAGTGAGCGCGGCTTGCCGTGTGCCTCAGCTGTTGGTGTGAACAGTGTGGTGTGTGCCGAACACCTGCTTTCCTTTTAGGAGTCTGGAATTTTGTCCTAGCACTTGTGCAGGTGTGTCTGGGTAACTGTCCTCATTCTCTCCAATTAAGAACTTTGGGTTCTGAGTTTCTAATAGGCTTTTCCGAGTAGGAACATTGCACGCGCTTTTTATATGTTGGAGAAAGGAGTAAGCTCAAGGGTCCTCTGTCACAGGAGGAAGAGAGAATAAGGAAACCTGTGTATGGATTTCTCCAGTGTCTTTTTCCCTTTTTGATCCTACAGTGTAATGGTACTATGTCACTGTAGTGAGTCTTAGCCATGTATGAATCTTCCAGTGTGGAGTGTCCTGTTGGGGATTCTAACAAAGTATTTGGCTTTTTTTTTTTTTTTTGTGCTTATCTCAGATTTTATCTCTGAGGATCAGCTCTTTTGAGAACGTGGGGCTTATGGTTCCTGAGAGGAAGTCACACTTTCTGTTGGAGATATAGTGAACATTATTGCTTATGGAGGCAGATTGGTGGAATTGATTGACAGGAGAAAAATCACTTATCCCTTTCCCTTTTTACTCTTTTTTTTTTTTTTAATGCCTCTAGTAGAGGCATAAAAAGTTTACAGACTGCTAAAGTGTGTGTCCACAGGCTAGACTATGTTTTACAAACTTTTGGTATAAGTCTATCCATTGTCACAGAAATACATATGTTGGGATTCCTGTTTCCACATCTTAGAAACAGAGTTCTGTAGGACAATACTTACTTTTTTACATGGTCTGGTGTTTTGTATTTTATTCTATTTCATTTTCCTTTTAAATGTTGATAATCCACTAAATTGATTTCATGATGCACTAATGGGTTGTGATTCACAGTTTATAAAATACTCTGCTATGGTGTCCAGTCCATTTTATTGGAGCCAAAAAATTAGGTACAAACAGCAAACCTGATCTAAGCTATCCAAAGGAAATGAATGTTTATTTAGAAAAGGATAAAGTTTTTGTGAAGAAAATTCCATTTTTTAAGAAAGTTAGAAACAATATATGATTTTGCATTTAAAAAAATTACAGTTTTTATTTAATTCATTTGGAAAAATATCTTTACTGAGGGTGTAAGTAGATTTAAAAAAACACAAGGAAATCCATTTTCCTGAGTTCGAGAACTTGAATAGGCAAATCTGACCACTTAAAGTTACTGTTTTTTACCGTAACTAATGATAATCATTTAATGAGCAGTGTATTATGTGTGAAGTCTTCAGCTTGGGGCATACATAAGTTATATACTTTAGCCCTTGTAAGGTTGGTGTTATGATTCCTCATTTTACAGAAGAAGAAATGAAGACCCTGAGAGAGAGTGCATTTTCATAGTTTGTGGCAGAGTCAGGATTCTGAGCCAGATCTGCTCAGTTCCAAAGCTTCTGCCCTAACCTGGCATGGCAGATACTTGGGCCTCCTGTTCTCCTGCTACGCCCATTGCAGGGTTACCTAGCAGTCACAGTGTTCTTTGCAGCTGGTCCTAAAAGTGGCTTCACGGTTTTTATCAGTTCAGCACTCCTTGAGTTGAAGGCTATTCATTGTAACCATTCTGTTCTACTGTTTTCCAAGGCACAGCACCTAAAATGTGAGAAGAGACATGATGAAGTCTGCTGTTTATTTATGAATAGACCAACTGTATTAGTTTCTGGTGGTTTTTACTCATTTGTATGCAGAAAATAGTGATATTCAAGGCAGTGAATAAATAAGTTTATTTTTCACCCTAAAGCTAAGGGATCTTGTTGAAATTTCCATTTTAATATTATGAAAGGCTGGCATTTGGCTAAGATTTGTATGAATGGAAGAAATTGTATTGGAAATAATTTCCTATTTGGAGGCTTAATTTATATTTGATCATCCAGGAACTTTTATGATGATATAATCCATGCATGTATCAAATTGATTAATTTTATTCTAATACCTGTATTTCCCAATGAGGAATAAAAAAAAAAAAAGTAGGCATTTAGTCACAGAATAAAGGGTATTCATTGTTTAAATTAGCAATTCTGGAGACTTAGAAGTTGATTTTTGTTGTGTGGTGGAATAAACACTGGTTCTAACCATCATGAGTTTGTGAACTAGCTGCTTTGTTTACTAAGTGAACACAGCCTGGGAAAAATCTGTAACCTCTCTAAGTCTCCATTTGTTTAATCTCTTGAAAGGGGTAAGTAACATCTACCATAATTTTCAGTAGATTTATTGGAATATCATATGAAATATCTATAACCTATGGATATATGCTATACTATGTCAAGTGCTTTATAAAGGTCTTTTTTTTTTCCCCATAAAACTGGACCTGTGTGAAAAAATACACTTTTACTTTCAACATGTAGACTGTTTTTGCTGGGCTTTTTTTTCCCTTTGTAATATTAATGGTACAGATTTAAGAATTAATTTATAGGGGCGCCTGGGTGGCTCAGTGGGTTAAGCCTCTGCCATTGGCTCAGGTCATGATCCCAGGGTCCTGGGATCGAGCCCCGCATCGGGCTCTCTGCTCGGCAGGGAGCCTGCTTCCCCCCTCTTTCTCTGCCTGCTTCTCTGCCTACTTGTGATCTCTCTCTCTCTCTGTGTGTCAAATAAATAAATAAAATCTTAAAAAAAAAAAAAGAATTAATTTATAATATAAGATATAATCTGAAATTTGGGTTTATAATTCTACTAACCTATATTATATATAATATATATGACTTATATAATTCTATAAAGGGGACTTGCAAGATTCTTAAAAATCTTGTGGTAAGTAGAATAATGGCCCCTTAAATATGCCTGTCATAACCTCCAGAATCTAAGAATGTTCTATCACAATCTATGTTAAGTTTTATCACAAGGGGGAATTGAGGTTGCTAATGAGCTGCTAAAGAGATTATCTTGGAAGATGCAGGTGGATCCAGTTAATCACAAGGGTCTTTAAAAGTGGAAGAGGAGCCAGAAGAGAGAGATGTGGACGCAGTGGTTGGAGTGATGTGATTACTGGCTTTTAATGAGGAAGTGAGTCACTGAGCCAAGGAATGTCGGCCCCCAAGCCCTCCATGTTAGAAAAGGCAAGGAACCTCCTATAGGAAGGCTCTAGAGAGATTCTTCCATAGGGCCTTCAGAAAAGACTGCAGCCATGTAGACACCCTGGTTTTTAGCTTAGTAAAACTCATTTCAGACTTCTGATCTCCAGAACTATAGGATAATGAGTTTGTTAAACTACTAAGTTGGTAATTTGTTACAGCAGCAATAGGAAACGAATACATCCATTTCTTATAAATCACCTGAAATGGATTCTCAGTTTCTGTCACTTTCAAAATTATTATTTTGGGGGGACGCCTGGGTGGCTTAGTAGGTTAAATGTCTGCCTTCAGTCCAGGTCATGATCCCAGGATCCTGGGAGCCAGTCCTTGCTCAGTAGGGAGCCTGCTTCTCTTTCTGCCTGCCACTCGCCTTGCTTGTGCTCTCTCTGTGACGAATAAGTAAACTCCTTTTAAAAAAATTACATTTTTTTAAACTTCAGAGTTTATGAAATTACTGAAAAATATTAGAAAATATAAAAAAACAATAGAGGTAAAAATTATTTTCCACCTTCAGCAATAGTCACCGACATTTTTGCTATATTTTCTCCTAGCTTTATATCTATGCAAAATTTTTAAATTGAGGGAGAGGAGTCAAGATGGCGGAGAAGTAGCAGGCTGAGACTACTTCAGGTAGCGGGAGATCAGCTAGATAGCTTATCTAAAGATTGCAAACACCTACAAATCCAACGGGAGATCGAAGAGAAGAAGAACAGCAACTCTAGAAACAGAAAATCAACCACTTTCTGAAAGGTAGGATGGGCGGAGAAGTGAATCCAAAGTGACGGGAAGATAGACCGCGGGGGAGGGGCCGGCTCCCGGCAAGCGGCGGAGCAACGGAGCACAAAATCGGGACTTTTAAAAGTCTGTTCCGCTGAGGGACATCGCTCCAGAGGCTTAACCGGGGTGAAGCCCACGCGGGGTCAGCGTGGCCTCAGGTCCTGCAGGGTCACAGAAGGATCGGGGGTGTCTGAGTGTCGCAGAGCTTACAGGTATTAGAACGGGGAAGCCGGCTACAGAGACAGAGCCGAGGAGTGAGCTCTAAGCTCGGGGTTACCTTGAACCGGTCTCAGGCTCGGTCAGCTCGGAGCGCGGCCGGAGGCAGGGTGACGGGAGTAATTGGGCGCTGTTCTCTGAGGGCGCACTGAGGAGTGGGGCCCCGGGCTCTCGGCTCCTCCAGGCCGGAGACCGGGAGGCCGCCATCTTCATTCCCGCCCTCCGGACTCTACGGAAAGCGCTCAGGGAACAAAAGCTCCCGAAAGCAAACCCGAGCGGATTACTCAGCCTGGCCCCCGGGTAAGGGCGGTGCAACTCCACCCCGGGCAAAGACACTTGAGAATCACTACAACAGGCCCCTCCCCCAGAAGATCAACAAGAAACCCAGCCAGGACCAAGTTCACCTACCAAGGAGTGCAGTTTTAATAGCAAGGAGAGCAGCGGAATTCCAGAGGAGGAGAAAGCAAAGCACGGAACTCATGGCTTTCTCCCCATGATTCTTTAGCCTTGCAGTTAATTTAATTTTTTTTTTCTTTTTCAATTTTT